ACACACACACACACACACACACACTTAACCTAGCCTTAATAACTTGATAACTTAAAATGCACGTTGTTGTATATTTTTCCCCATTATGTTGTTTAACCTCTTTTCTTAACCTCTTATGACCGCTCTTAACCTCTTATAACCTGTCTTAAACTCTTACGACCTCTCTTAACCTCTCTTGGCACCTCTCCAACTCCTTTTGACCTCCAACAGACAAGTGGGTAGCGGAGGTCACGTAGGGGCGAGCGGTGGGTATGGCGGGGCAGCGGCGGTTTACCACGGGGTACAGTCAGCCTACAGTGGGTATGGCGGTGGTGGTGGTATTGGCTACGGTCACGGCGGTTCTTCTTACTACGGCCCTAGTGAGTTACTACGGTACTGGGTGAGTTACTACGGTACTGGGTGAGTTACTACGGTACTGGGTGAGTTACTACGGCCCTAGGTGAGTTACTACGGTACTGGGTGAGTTACTACGGCTGGGTGAGTTACTACGGCCCTAGGTGAGTTACTACGGTACTGGGTGAGTTACTACGGTACTGGGTGAGTTACTACGGTACTAGGTGAGTTACTACGGTACTGGGTGAGTTACTACGGTACTGGGTGAGTACTACGGTACTTGAGCATGGCCCTAGGTGAGTTACTACGATACTGGGTGAGTTACTACGGCCCTAGGTGAGTTACTACGGTACTAGTGAGTTACTACGGCACTGGGTGAGTTACTACGGTACTGGGTGAGTTACTACGGTGCTAGGTGAGTTACTAGGGCACTAGGTGAGTTACTACGGCACTGGGTGAGACACGGCCCTAGGTGAGCACTCAGGAGTTACTACGGCCCTAGGTGAGTTATTACGATGCTAGGTGAGTTACTACGGCCTTTGTCCTTATAAGGTGAGTCACTGGTACTAGATGAACTATCTGGTGAGTCACAGAGCTTTACTAGTCACTGTAATACGGTACTAGGTGAGTCACCATGTACAGTTGAGTCAGTATGTACTAGTGTAGGGTGATGGCAAGGCTGGAATGGACTTTGAATTACTGATAAATGAGTCATAATGTAATATAGTTTCATGTAACTGATATTAACTAAATATGGGAAGTAGATTTATTCAGAAATATACACCAAAAATCACTTATTTAACTTGATCTGAACTGTTATCACTTTGTCTGTAGTTAATATTTCAACTTATTCTTAACTAATAAGCAGTGGTGGCTCCTGATAAAATACATAAAGGGGACTGCATTTTTTTTAATTTGGCACATAAAGTAATATTATTTGCCTTAGGGTCCAGTTTGTGAGTTGAAGTTGATGGCGTGAGTACTCTGGGCTCAGCTGGGCATTACTTGAAAATACTCCAACATGCTGTACCAAAGTGATTAGTTACTTTTCATTAAAATCCTTTATTTGTGTGATCATTTGATTTTCAATGGCTACCATTGCTAAAGCAGATAATGTCATTCACCATAGTATTCCGCAAGAAAGTTTTGATTCTTTTCAAGGTTGAAAACCACCTTTTGCCCTCAGCCATTGTTAGTGGTGTTGTCATTACCTTGATAAGCTTTACAGTTTCTGATAATGTTGATGAGTGATGCTTTCAGTGATAATTTATGAGACTATGATTTATATAAATCTTCTCTTGTGCAGAGTACACAAAGTTCAGTTCTCAATTTGTCTTTTTCATGCATGGGATAAGCTTCAACTGCTTGTTCAAGTTCCTTACTGGGAAAATTACAAGCATACTTTTGAAAGTTGTTTACCAAAAGTAGCCAACTTGTTTCCAAATGATTAACAAGAGTAAATCTTTCTTCACATTACATTATGAATAAATCACAGACTTCTTTTACAGTAACTGATTTATGTCCTGAGTATTTTGTTCTTTTTGTCTCTGAAGCCAAATTCATCTCATATTTTCTTAATCGTTAAGCTGAACACATTTAAGGAGACATTAGTCTTTAATGCATCAATGTCTCTAGACTGCACGTATCTGATAGGTCATTGGACTGCAGAGATTGCAGCCCAAATTTCAGTGCAGCTCGGGCGCTAAATGCGTAAAAAGAACGTATATACAGTTGCTAACTTGCTATGATTGCCAACTAAGTTTAGGTGTATTATTCTTATGAAAGTAGTGTCAATATAATGAATACAACATTATAGCTGAAGCTTTTTAAAAACAAATTATGAAATTGTTTAAATCTGGCAAAAGAAGATGTATCATACGTCTGGCAATTTTGTAGGGAGCTGCCGCCCAAAACGAGCCGCCACTGATAATAAGTATCATTACGACAAAAGATAAGGTTGAATATAAATTATCTAATTTATCGTTTACATATTTTAGCATTCTCTGTAGAGCATTAGTTTTATTGTCTATAACATTTTCCAACTCTCACAAATTTAATAATTCACTTATATTTTATAACTTATGCTTGTGTCAAGTATATATATTGAATTTGTGTATATATCCCTCTGTAGAAAGTTGAGTTTTTATTGTTAAGTAATTATTGTATTTGATTTATCACAGAGTAAGGAATTATATATATATTGAGAGGACTGAAACATTGCTGGGATAATAATAATAATAATAATAATAATAATAATAATAATAATAATAATAATAATAATAATAATAATAATAATAATAATACATAAACCATGAATCAAGGATACAAGCAAATCAATGGTTATGTTAGAAATAGGATAGGTTAGGATAGGTTAGGGGAGGTTAGGGTAGGTTAGGATAGGTTAGGATAGGTTAGGGGAGGTTAGGATAGGTTTCTCGAGAATCATTCAATTCTTAACTATCGCGAAACGACTTGATGAAATTTACTAGTACGGTTTGCCTCTGCCTAAATTAATTTGCAACCCACATTAATTCACGGTATATAACCCACATTAACCCACGGTATATATAACCCACATTAACCCACAGTATATATAACCCACGGTATATATAACCCACATTAACCCACGGTATATATAACCCACATTAACCCACGGTATATAAAACCCACATTAACCCACGGTATATAAAACCCACACTTTCATCACTTCCTCGTCTACAGTTACTTCGTTGCGCCCTCCGGTAACTACCATGGTGGATACTTCGGTAACCAGGGTCATGGTGTGTATGGTGGTGGTCATGGTGGCGGCTATGGTGGCGGCCATGGTGGTGGTCATGGTGGTGGTGTTGGTCGTGGTTATGGTGGCGGTTATGGTGGCGGATATGGGTAAGTAAAAGCCTCGTTTGTTTTGTCATTCAGTGAAGCTAGAATGAAAAGATGTTTAATGAAATAGTTTGATAAAATATATATGTAATAGATGCTATAATACTACAACTACTACTACTGATAATAATAATACAGTAATAATGATAATAATAATGGTATTTGCTTTATTATTATTATTATTATTATTATCCTTTTTATTCTCATATTCTTATAAATTATCATCTTCATTATAGATACGGTCGCTAAGCACCAGTCAACAGTTAGATAATTCACCCCAAGCCCACAGTCAGTCTCCAGTCAACCATACGTAACTGTACTAACTGGCAGAACGATTTTACACTTTTATACATCATTGTAAACTATCTATGTATAACCCAGTACTTCGAGGACTGTATAATGAATGAGAATGAATAATTCGATTAGTAAATACCTTGTATAGTAATAAAATACAGGGGAGTGAAGATAATTATTTCCTTCATTATTGTATATAAGATTTTATGGTGTATTGTTTGACGATGAATAATAATGTAGAATGTATAACGGTGTGAAAATAAATATATACATACAAAAACAATGAATGATTTTGAATGAGTTATCGGTTTGTATAAATATATAGTGTGAATCTATCTATCTATCTATCTATCTATCTATCTATCTATCTATCTATATTTCTGCCTGTTTGTCTGCCTGTCTGTTTCTGTCTATCCGCCTGTCTCCGCGTCTGCCTCTATCTGTCAGTCTCTTTCTATCTTGTCTCTGCCCCTTGCCTGTTTGTCCGTCTATCTGTCTGTCACTTTACCTGTGTACATTTGTGTGTAAACAGATGGACAGGAGACAGAATTTGGTTATGTAATTACAATAATAAGTTTCAGGGAGAGAAAACATTAGAATTATGTTACATTAGAAACGTTTATAAGTGGAATTATGGTAAAAACTATTAAAATATTTAGGTTATAAATACGATAATTAAAGATTAAAGACAATTTGGGGAGAGATTTGGTACTAGTATGGAGAATAAGACCATAAGATAGTTAATATTTACGCTGGTTCATTAGTTCGGTGACATACGACAAGTTAACCTTCCGACGGATGAGTGACCAGTACTGACAACAGAAGGTGTTCAGTGTTTACTTTGACCTTGTGCCAGCACGAGCGAACAACAACGCCTGACGGATAGTTTACGTAACATCTGGAAGTGCTGTAGGTAAAAGTGAATATTGTTGTTGTAATGTTCTACACAGTGAATATTTACGGGTTTCTTAAGCTGTTGTGACGAATGCAGTGATGGTCGCACTACTACGCTGACTACTGTGCCCAATATAAATGACACTACCAATTGACCTTTATTAAACGGACTATATGGAGAGGAAGTCCTTTAGGAGTGAGAGTTAAGAGTGAAAACCGAGTAAGAGGGTATGGAGGTAGGGAGAGGTGAAAGAGGGTAGGTACTAGGGAGGAAGGCAGAGTGACAGTATTAGGAATAAGTATAATCTTAATGGTAGTTTATGGTGGTCATGGAAGACTCAGTCAACCATGGTATACAGTCAACCATAACAGTCTACTACATTACGGACAGTCAACCATAACAGTTAACTATGACAGTCAACCATAACAGTCTACTACATTACGGACAGGCACCCCACAGGTCGTACAACACAGTGAGTTAACAGTCAGTGGAAGGAATCAGTTCAGTCATCGATCGTTAAACTCAGGTAAAATGTAATCAGAAATCATGTCACGGGTTCGTGTCCCATCCCTATTAGATTACACAATAATAGCTACCATCAAGAGCGCCAATAATCCACGTCATTTCGCCCCAATAATTTTCACTAGTTCCCGCCAATAATTCTCTCAACAGTTCCCGCCAATAATTCCTCACCAGTTCCCACCAATAATTCCTCGCCAGTTCGCGCCAATAAGCCACCTCGCCAGTTCGCGCCAATAAGCCACCTCGCCAGTTCGCGCCAATAAGCCACCTCGCCAGTTCGCGCCAATAAGCCACCTCGCCAGTTCGCGCCAATATCGGACGCCGCCGCCGCCGCCGCCGCTGCCATCTGTCGGCCACAAACGACACTTTGATGAGTCGGAACCAATCGCCTCATCGCTCTTTGATGACGTCATGTTGGGCCGATAATTGAACGGTTATTAATATATTATTAAAAAAAAATCTTGTGTTTGAATTAGTGGCTGTTATTTTTTCTCTTTCTTTATTAACTGTCTCGTGGGTTTTTATTTACTCGTATTTATCCCATTCCCAATATTTGATTATTGTATTTAGAATAACTTAACAAATTACTCTTTTATTCGCTCTTTAAGACTTGGTTTTCTAAGAGTTCTTCATCTTAACTTGAGATGGCATAGTTGTTTCACTGAAGGTGTTGATTATAATGGCGTCTATATTGAGCTTTGACTACGGTAGTTAAATTTGTTTTATATATCACATGGTGTAGTGTGTGGTGGTGTGTAGTGGTGATGGTGTGTGGTAGTGGTGGTGGTAGTGGTGTGTGGTATGTAATGGTGGTGTATGGTAGGTAGTATTGCTGTGTGGTAGTGGTGATAATGTAGTAGTACTAGTTTTATGTGGTAGTGATGTGTTGTTGTGATATGTGGTAGTGGTTTTGTGTGGTAATGGTTATTATGTGGTAGTGTGTGGTGGTGGAGGCGGCGCTCGACAGTGGAGGAAGATTATGGAGGAGGAGGAAGAGGTGTCGCCGCACGTGCGTAATGAGAGAGTGACTGGGCGGCCGCAGAATTTATCAGCGTAAAAGATTTAATCTGTTTTAAACATACCGCGGCTCGAGGGTCGCTTTTCACCACACATCGTTGTTCATTTGTCATCTATGACGTCACTACCCGGGTGACAAATTGGCGGCGGGTTTAGCGAGCGTCAAAAGTGGCGTCATTGTTGCTGACAAATTGTTGCCAGCTGACGCCACTCACCGTTGCCAACTGTATGACAACAATGACAATACTAGGTGTATACAGAGGCATTGTCCGTCATAAATATACAACGATCATAAGACACAGATGCCATTACATAACCTACAACACCTTCAGATTAATAATATGAGAAAACGTAATTATTAAGGAAAGATGATACCACTTTAATAAAACCCTCGCTGGCATCTGCCTCTCGTGTAAACAGTGTCAAGCGGCAGAAGCTATAAGGGCGAGCGTTACCTTCACCTCACACGGTCTACATCACCCTTACGTCCCAACACTGGGCTATCGACTATGCACGACAGCTTAATGACTAGATAATCGGGTAGTTGAGAGTCCATCACCTCGTCTGAGTTAATCACCACACGTAATACGGCCGTAATGGCTATATTCTATGGATTTCTCAAGCGGGAAAAGAAAGAGGCGAGGGTACACAGGCTAGTCATTACTGATCACCTGTGTGGGAGGGAGGGGACAAGTGAGGGAAGGAGGGAGTAAGGGAAAGAGGGAGGGAGGGAGGGAGGGAGTGAGGCAAGCAAGTGAAGGAGGGAGGGAGGGAGTGAGGCAAGCAAGTGAAGGAGGGGGGGGAGGGAGTGAGGCAGGCAAGTGAAGGGAGGAGGGAGGGTAGTGAGGCAGGCAAGTGAGGGAAGGAGGGAGGGTCATCTGCCTGTGACGTGCGCGCTAAGAGCCGTCACGTGACACTCATTTTTTAAGATGAAAATAAATACACATCCCCGCACGTCCCCTTCCAGCACCTCCCCTCCCCTAACACACTCCCCCAGCACCCCCTCAGCACCTCCCCAGCACCTACCTCCCAGCACCGCGAAAGGGAGTAACAGGGTATTCAAGATGTAATACATAACTAGTTAACTTTCAAGTACAAAAATAACAGCAAATTACATGACTATTACACCGAGACTTTACACTTACTTAATAAGAAGAAATTATGAAAATCTCGCCCATATGATTCGCTGCGATAATTGGGTCACCTGAAGATTAGCTCCCAGCTTATTTTACCTGAAAATTAGAAACACTAATTCTACCAGTGGGATTAGATTAAGTGAACGTTTGTAGTTAAGGTAGAGTCTCAGAGTAAATCTTAAGCCATTTTCGATACCAATTTTACGGTTTTAGCCTAAATTAAACAGTTTATTATTGGTTACATTTTACTCGGAGGAAAATTTAACGTCAGAACCTTTGTGACTATCGAGGCGACGAGGGTTGACTGTAGGGTTAGGTTAAGATGAAGGTTTTATGAGTCTGATTGTAAGAATTTTAGCTTTAATGGCGCTGAGGCAAGCTAGGGCTGTAAATCAGTGTTAATGATAGCTTTGTGGTGTAGGTGTAGTGGTGGTGGTGATAGCTTTGTGGTGTAGGTGTAGTGGTGGTGGTGATAGCTTTGTGGTGTAGGTGTAGTGGTGGTGGTGGTGGCTGAGGTGGTGGTGGTGGTGATAGCTTTGTGGATAGGTGGTAGGTGGTGGTGGTGGTGGTGATGATTTGGTGTAGGTAGTGGTGGTGGTGGTGATAGTTTGTGGTGTAGGTGTAGGGTGGTGGTGGTGGTGATAATGGTGGTGTAGTATGTGGTGGTGGTGGTGGTGGTGATAGCTTTGTGGTGTAGTGGTGGTGGTGGTGGTGATAGCTTTGTGGTGTAGTGGTGGTGGTGGTGGTGATAGCTTTGTGGTGTAGTCAGCATCAGTTACCAGTGATTATAAGTTACAGTATCAGTCAACAGTCAGGAGGCAACAGTCAACAGTCAGGAGGCAACAGTCAACAGTCAGGAGGCAACAGTCAACAGTCAGGAGGCAACAGTCAACAGTCAGGAGGCAACAGGTCAACAGTAGGGAGTGGTGAGCGTCTTAAAGAAAATCAATAGTGTGTGGTGGCTGGGTGTGTCCAGGGGGGGGGGGAGGTAGAGGGAGGGTGACGAGGGGGTATAGGGGTGGGGTAAAGAGGAGAGGGGGGGGAGGGAGGGGGTAATGAGGGGACAGGTGAGGGGAGGGAAGGAGGGGAGAAGTGAGAGGTGAGGGGAGGGAAGGAGGGGAGAAGTGAGAGGAAGAAAAGTTGGGTCTTGTGGTATTTCTTTGTGGTAACTTGTGTCGTTGTTGTTGTTATGGTGATGTTCCTCTTCTCGTGGTGGTTCTGATGTTAGTAGTGGTAGTTATGATAGTTGTAGTTGTGGTATTATAGCAAGATGGTATAATAGTTGTAGTAGTGGTAGTTGTGGTAGTTGTGGTAGTAGTGGTAGTTGTGGTAGTTGTGGTAGTAGTGGTTGTAGTGGTAGTTGAGGTAGTAGTGGTAGTTGTGGTAGTAGTGGTAGTAGTGGTAGTAGTGGTAGTAGCTGAGGCACCATCATAATACCCTCACTAACGAATCCTGTCACGTCACTAACATACCTGTGTAGTCAGGTGTGCATACATAAATATTCACACACCTGTTTTTATGTGCGTAAGTTGATGAGGTTTTTTGTGTGTGTAGTTTATGTGTACATAAAATTGCATATGTGTTTTTATTTGTGTGTGTGTGTGGAGATTTTGGGTGCGTATAAATACACACATACATACATACTTCATTTCCACACATGCGTACATACACACTTACGTGTCAATACATGGTATCAGGACAACTGTCCCCCATTGCCAGTGAATAACTGTCACAGAACATGGAACTAACTGAATGGAGAGGAGAAAATAATACTGAGAATTAATGCTTTATTTTCATGTTTTTTTTAGAAATAATTATATACACAACTCAAAAAAATGTTAACACTACAAATCTGTAATTAGAAAAACATTGATAACAAATTGTGTTGAAGTGAAAACAAATTGTGGATCAGTCATATTTAATATTTATAAATTGACTGACATAAATCACACTAAAATTACAAGTTGTGAGCTATCCCTCTTGAACAGTCCAACACATGATGGTTCTGGAAGTCTTGTACGATGGTTGATGTTGTGACTGTTGAACCTTGATAACGTTTCCTCTTAGGTGGTGCTGGATCTCCTGTAGCAATCTGGTTGATGGTGATGTTGGTTACGTTAGGTTTGGTTTGGTTTGGTTAGGTTAGCTGTACATAAGATTTACTCGGGCAATGGGGGGCAAATGCCCCATGGGGGCAGTTATCGGGAGGCAATTGTCCAGGGGGCAGTTGTCTTAGAACCACCAATACGTGTATGTACAAATATTATTCATATTACAGTAGTAGTAGTAGCAGTAGAAGCAGCAGCAGCAGTAGTAGTAGTAGTAGTAGTAGTAGTAGTAGTAGTAGTAGTAGTAGTAGTAGTAGTAGTAGTAGTAGGCTACAGTTACTGAATGCCGCCGATCTGCGGCTCAACTAACTCAACACAACTATGGGTAGCTACTTATGTATTAGGATAGTTACTTTTAAGGTAATATAATACCGGCGAAGGTGTGGCTATAGGGGGAGGCTGCTGGAGGCCACGTTAAATTATTAGTAGCAGTAGTAGTGGTAGTTCGGTGTCATAGTGTGATAAATGGTATAATAATCATGATAAATGTGGCACCGTATAGTGGCACCAGGTAACGGCACCGTATAGTGGCACCATATAGTGGCACCGTATAGCGGCACCCTATAGTGGCACCATATAGTGGCACCATATAGTGGCACCGTATAGTCGCACCATATAGTGGCACCGTATAGTGGCACTGTATAGTCGCACCGTATAGTGGCACCATATAGTGGCACTGTATAGTCGCACTATATTGTGGCACCATAGCACCGCTTAGTATATATAGTGGCACCAATATGCGGCACCGTATAGTGGCACCGTATAGTGGCTCCATATAGTGGTGCCAATAACGGCACCACATAGTGCACTGCAAAGCGGCACCATATAGTGGCATATATCGTGGCACCATAGCGTGGCACCATATAGTGGCACCGATAGAGTCACCGTATAATGGCACCATATAGTGGCACCGTATAGTGGCACTGTATAGTGGTACCGTATAGTGGCACCGTATAGTGGCACTGTATAGTGGCACCATATAGTGGCACCGAATGGAGTCACCGTATAGTGGCACCATATAGTGGCACCATACTGTGGCACCGTATAGTGGCACCACATAGCTGGTAGTGTGAATAATTGAACACCAGAGCGGTGGAGTGCTGTAATGACCCCGACTCTCACTGTGTAGACTGATATTATCCTTACTGGTGTGAGGGAGGGAGGGGGAAGGGTGAGGGAGGGAGGGGGAAGGGTGAGGGAGGGAGGATAGAAGGGTTAGGTCGAGGGAGGGAGAGAGAGAGGAGAAGTGAGAAAGAATTAGTGAGGTAGAGGGAGGGGAGGAGGGAGGGACGCAGCCATATGTGGGTTGAACTATCACAGCCACATTTCACGTTCCTCCTTCCCTCCCTCTCTCTTGCCCTCCATCCCCCCATCCATTCTATCCCTCCCACCCTCCTTCTACCTCCCCCTTTCCTTCCCTCCATCCCCCCCTCTCTGTCTTTCCCTACTTTCTGTCTCCTACAGGAAGGGGCAGGTACAGGGGAAGGGGCAGATGGGGGAGGGGCAGGTACAGGGGTTCCACAGGGGGAAGGAGCAGGTACAGGAGGTACTTTAGGTACAGGTACAGGGGAAGGAACAGGTACTGGTCAGGGGGTACAGGGAAGGAGCAGGTACAGGAGGTACAGGGAAGGGGCAGGTACAGGGGAAGGGGTACAGGTACAGGGTACAGGGGAAGGCAGGTCAGGGGGTACAGGGAAGGGGCAGGTACAGGGTACAGGGGAAGGAGCACAGGGGTACAGGGGGTACAGGGGAAGAGCAGGTACAGGGGGGGTACAGCAGGGGAGGGGCAGGCAGGGGAAGGGGCAGGTACAGGGGAAGGGGCAGATACAGGGGGAGGGGCAGGTACAGGGGGGTACAGGAGGAAGGCAGGCACAGGGGGGGCAGGTACAGGGCAGGTACAGGGGGAGGGGCAGATACAGGGAAGGGGCAGGTACAGGGGAAAGGCAGGTGGCAGGGGGGTACAGGAGGAAGGGCAGGACAGGGGCAGGTAAGGGCAGGTACGGAAGGGGCAGGTACAGGGGAAGGGGCAGGTACAGGGGAAGGGGCAGGTACAGGGGAAGGGGGATACAGGGGAGGGGCAGGTACAGGGGGTACAGGAGGAAGGGGCAGGCAGGGGGGCAGGTACAGGGAGAAGGGGCAGGTACAGGGGAGGGGCAGATAAAGGGGGCAGGTACAGGGGCAGGTACAGGGCAGGTACAGGAGGAAGGGGCAGGCACAGGGTTAAGGGGCAGGTACAGGGAGAAGGGGCAGGTACAGGGGGAAGGGGCAGGTACAGGGGGGTACAGGGGGAAGGATCAATATATCACACGCATCGACCGCGGGGACATAACCTCGTCGCCCATTGGTCGCCTGACTCCCACTCTCGACGTTGATTGGTCAAGGCACCGCTACGATTAGCCATTGTGCCGAGGTGAGTGCCACGGATCAACCAATCCCTTACGTGCTCTCCCCATCGTTCACGCCCACCGTGCCACGCCGACCAATGGCAGCGACGGAGCAGAGTGAAGGAACTTGGAGTTTGACCGATCAAATGTCAGCTCAAGGGATGGAGGCTCCGGATTGGTGGTTATGCTGACGTTACGCTGACGCCGAGAAGTCAGGAGGTTCCCAACCACGGCCGCTTCGGGTCAAACCACAAGCTCACCGCCTATACACGCCTTCCCACGCCTTATTTCTCCCCCACGCCCTTATCTTATCAAGATCTACACGCCCTCGCGCCCACGCTGCGAGTCATCCTTGGTGTGGGCGGGATCGTGGGCGGCCAAACCTACGACTTTTTGGTCTCTTGCCTGTGACGACCACCACGACTGCCGCCATCTTGTGAACCTCTTCTGACGCGGTGGTGAGTGTCCTGTGTCCTACTGTGTCCCTGTGTCCTAATGTGTGTTCCTGTGTCCCACTGTGTGTTCCTGTGTCCCACTGTGTGTCCCTGCATCCCACTGTGTGTTCCTGTGTTCTAATGTGTCCCACTGTGTGTTCCTGTGTCCTTGTGTCCTAATGTGTGTCCCTGTGTTCCTGTGTCCCACTGTGTGTTCCTGTGTTCCTGTGTCCCACTGTGTGTTCCTGTGTTCCTGTGTCCCTACATCCCACTGTGTGTTCCTGTGTCCTAATGTGTCCCACTGTGTGTCCCTGTGTTCCTGTGTCCTTGTGTCCTACTGTGTGTCCCTGTGTTCCTGTGTCCTGTTGTGTTCCTGTGTCCCACTGTGTCCCTGTGTTCCTGTGTCCTTGTGTCCTACTGTGTGTCCCTGTGTTCCTGTGTCCTGTTGTGTGTTCCTGTGTCCCCACTGTGTGTTCCTGTGTTCCTGTGTCCCACTGTGTGTTCCTGTGTTCCTGTGTCCCTACATCCCACTGTGTGTTCCTGTGTCCCTAATGTGTCCCACTGTGTCCCTGTGTTCCTGTGTCCTTGTGTCCTACTGTGTCCCTGTGTTCCTGTGTCCTGTTGTGTGTTCCTGTGTCCCTACTGTGTGTTTCTATGTGTGTGTGTCCCACTGTGTCCCTGTTCCTGTGTCTTGTGTCCCTACTGTGTGTCCCTGTGTCCTGTGTCCCTACTGTGTGTCCTGTGTCCCTATGGTGTCCCTGAGTTCCTAGTGTGTTCCTGTGTTCCTGTGTCCCTACCCCACTGTGTGTTCCTGTGTCACTGTGTCCCCCTGTGTCCCTGTGTCCTGTCCTTGTGTCCTACTGTGTGTCCCTGTGTCCTACTGTCCCTGTGTTCCTGTGTCCTTGTGTCTACTGTGTGTCCCCTGTGTCCCTGTGTTCCTACTGTGTCCCTATGTGTCCTGTGTCCTTGTGTCCCCTACTGTGTCCCTGTGCCTACTGTGTGTCCCTGTGTTCCTGTGTCCCTTGTGTCCCTACCTGTGTCCCTGTGTTGTGTGTCTGTGTCCTACTGTGTGTGTTCCTACTGTGTCCCCTGTGTCCCTGTGTCCTGTCCTGTGTCCTTGTGTCCCTGTGTCCCTGTGTGTGTCCTGTGTCCCCTGTGTGTCCCTGTGTGTGCCCCTGTGTCCTGTGTGTGTCCTGTGTTGTGTCCTGTGTCCTGTGTCCTTGTGTACTGTGTGTCCCCCCTACTGTGTCCCTGTGTCCTGTGTCCTACTGTGTGTCCCTGTGTCCTACTGTGTCCCTGTGTTCCTGTGTCCTTGTGTCCTACTGTGTGTCCCTGTGTCCCTGTGTCCTCCTGTGTCCTTGTGTCCTACTGTGTGTCCCTGTGTCCCTACTGTGTCCCTGTGTCCCTGTGTCCTTGTGTCCTACTGTGTGTCCCTGTGTCCTACTGTGTGTCCCTGTGTTCCTGTGTCCTTGTGTCCTACTGTGTGTCCCTGTGTCCCTGTGTGTCCCTGTGTCCTGTGTCCCTGTGTCCCTGTGTGTCCCTGTGTCCCTGTGTCCCTGTGTCCTGTGTCTGTGTCCTACTGTGTGCCTGTGTCCCTGTGTCCCTGTGTCCTACTGTGTCCCTGTGTCCCTACTGTGTGTCCTGTGTCCTCCTGTGTTCCTGTGTCCCCCTGTGTCCTACTGTGTCCCTGTGTTCCTGTGTTCTGTGTCCCTACTGTGTGTCCCTGTCCCTACTGTGTGTCCCTGTGTTCCTGTGTCCCTTGTGTCCTACTGTGTGTCCCTGTGTCCTACTGTGTCCCTGTGTTCCTGTGTCCTTGTGTCCCTGTGTGTCCCTGTCCTGTGTGCCCTGTGTTCCTGTGTCCTGTGTGTCCCTACTGTGTCCCTGTGTCCTGTGTGCCCTGTGTTCCTGTGTCCTTGTGTCCTACTGTGTGTCCTGTGTCCTACTGTGTCCCTGTGTCCTGTGTCCTGTGTCCTGTGTCCCCTGTGTCCTACTGTGTGTCCTGTGTCCTACTGTGTCCCTGTGTTGTGTCCTGTGTCCTACTGTGTGTCCCTGTGTTCCCTGTGTCCTGTGTGTCCTGTGTGTCCTGTGTGTCCCTTGTGTCCTACTGTGTGTCCCTGTGTCCTGTGTCCTGTGTGTCCCTACTGTGTGTCCCTGTGTCCTGTGTCCCTGTGTCCTGTGTCCTTGTGTCTGTCCCTGTGTCCTACTGTGTCCCTGTGTTCCTGTGTCCTTGTGTCCTACTGTGTGTCCCTATGTCCTACTGTGTGTCCCTGTGTCCCTGTGTGTCCCTGTGTTCCTGTGTCCTTGTGTCCACTGTGTGTCCCTGTGTCCTGTGTCTGTGTGTCCCTGTGTCCTATGTGTCCCTGTGTTCCTGTGTCCTTGTGTCCTACTGTGTCCCTGTGTCCTACTGTGTGCCCTGTGTTCCTGCACTGTGTGTCCCTGTGTTCCTGTGTCCTTGTGTCCTACTGTGTGTCCCTGTGTCCTACTGTGTGTCCCTGTGTCCTTGTGTCCTACTGTGTGTCCCTGTGTCCTACTGTGTGTCCCTGTGTTCCTGTCCTGTACTGTGTCCCCTGTGTTCCTGTGTTCCTGTGTCGTTGTGTCCCACTGTGTGTCCCTGTGTCCTACTGTGTGCCCCTGTGTCCCTATGATCCTGTGTCCCTAATGTCATATACTGTGTCCTTGTTTCCCACTGTGTGTCCTTGTGTCCTACTGTGTGTCCCTGTGTCCTACTGTGTCCCTGTGTTCCTGTGGTCCTTGTGTCCTACTGTGTGTCCCTGTGTCCTACTGTGTCCCTGTGTTCCTGTGTCCCTGTGTCCTACTGTGTGTCCCTGTGTTCCTGTGTCCCACTGTGTATCCCTGTGTTCCTGTGTCCCACTGTGTGTCCCTGTGTCCTATTGTGTGTCCATGTGTCCCACTGTGTGTCCCAATGTGTGTTCCTGTGTCCTACTGTGTCTCTGTGTCCTACTGTGTTCCTTGTGTCCCACTGTGTGTCCCTGAGTCTTACTGAGTGTTCCTGTGTCTGGAAAATCTACGTGTCCTAATAGTCTCCCCGTGTCCTTCCTGTGTCCCTATAGTGTATACCCGTGTCTTGAAATGTGCCTCACTATCCTGAAAGATGTCCTTATGTCCTAAAATATGTTTACGTGTCCTTAAATGCCTCTACGTGTCCGTATGTCCTAGATGGAAGTCACTGTTTTATCTCAAGGTCCACCACGCATGTCCAACCGACGCTCTCCGATGTCCTAATGATCACCCATGTCCACCCCCTGTGCCTTATAGTGTGTCCATGTGTTGTGTATGTCCTAAAGTGTTCTCCCTGTATCCTAGAATACCGTGTCAGCGTGTCCCAATTTAAGACCAATCATCCCATATCATGTCCAAATATACAGTATATAGAAATATATTGGAAGATCGAATTGAGTGAAAATAATAATAATAATAATAATAATAATAATAATAATAATAATAATAATAATAATAATAATAATAATAATAATAATAATAATAATAATAATAATAAATAATAAATAATAAATAATAATAATAATAATAATAATAATAATAATAATAATAATAATAATAAATAATAATAATAATAATAATAATAACAATAATGATGATAATAATAATAATAATAATAATAATAATAATAATAATAATAATAATAATAATAATGATGATAATAATAATAATAATAATAATAATAATAATAATAATAATAATAATAATAATAATAATAATAATAATAATAATAATAATAATAATAATAATAATAATAATAATAATGATGATGATGATAATAATAATAATAATAATAATAATAATAATAATAATAATAATAATAATAATAATAATAATAATAATAATAATAATAGCAGGTGTCCAGTGCACACCTGGTGTCCTAACAACTGAAATCCATAAGCGACACTGTGTTCCTTGTGTCCCACTGTGTGTCCCTGAGTCTTACTGAGTGTTCCTGTGTCTGGAAAATCTACGTGTCCTAATAGTCTCCCCGTGTCCTTCCTGTGTCCCTATAGTGTATACCCGTGTCTTGAAATGTGCCTCACTATCCTGAAAGATGTCCTTATGTCCTAAAATATGTTTACGTGTCCTTAAATGCCTCTACGTGTCCGTATGTCCTAGATGGAAGTCACTGTTTTATCTCAAGGTCCACCACGCATGTCCAACCGACGCTCTCCGATGTCCTAATGATCACCCATGTCCACCCCCTGTGCCTTATAGTGTGTCCATGTGTTGTGTATGTCCTAAAGTGTTCTCCCTGTATCCTAGAATACCGTGTCAGCGTGTCCCAATTTAAGACCAATCATCCCATATCATGTCCAAATATACAGTATATAGAAATATATTGGAAGATCGAATTGAGTGAAGATGATAATAATAATAATAATAATAATAATAATAATAATAATAATAATAATAATAATATCGGGACATTAATAATGCGGATGATAATGTTAATGAATAGCAGGTGTCCAGTGCACACCTGTATGAGTATCGACCAATCAGCGAGCGACATTCCCCTTCGTGGTGGATTATATCGTGTCAAAATGGCGACGGTACTGACCAGTGACTCAAGTTAGTTATATCAATACTTAATGGCGTTATTAACCTTAACATTAACCTGGGATAAAGTTAAAGATGCGGATAATTTTATGATATCGGGACATTAACCGCGGTTTGTTTGGTTGAGGTTAACGTTATGATATCGGAACGTAGTGTTAAGATGGAAATATCGGTAAATGACAACGGAATTTTGTCTCTAGTTCACACCGGTTAATGATCCGGTATAGTGACGTAATCTGCGGTTAACACCTCGATATAGTGATGTAATCTGCGGTTAACGCCTCGATATAGTGATGTATTCTACGGTTAACGCCTCGATATAGTGATCTAATTTGCGGTTAACACCTCGATATAGTGATGTAATCTGCGGTTAACGCCTCGATATAGTGATGTAATCTGCGGTTAACGCCTCGATATAGTGATGTATTCTGCGGTTAACGCCTCGATATAGTGATCTAATCTGCGGTTAACGCCTCGATATAGTGATCTAATCTGCGGCCTCCATAACGCAGTAACCACAGCAAGTCGGCCACTGTATCAATACTTTATATAAACGTGAAGGATAATGACGGAGAGTGAACAGGATAATGTAGTGGGGGGGAGTGGGGAGGGAGTCGTGGGGGGAGAGGAGGTCGTGAGGTTCGGTTAGGAGGGTCGTAAGAGGTTAGGGGAGGGAGGGTCGTAAGAGAGGTTAAGGGAGGGAGGGTCGTAAGAGAGGTGGGGTCGTATCTGTACTTACATCTGACAGTCGTAATATCTGCTTACGTCGCACCGCTGTCAGCAATAGTGCCTGCTGATAGCCCACGCTGACACAGGTCCTGGTACTATCTGCTGACAGTAGACGCATCTGCTGAGAGTCCACGCTGACAGTAGCAGCGGTAGTGTCAGCGCCAGACCATGTTTACTCTGGCCAAGTGTGTGTGTTGGCACTTGTGTGTGTCAACAGAGGGTGTGTGTGTGTGTGTGTGTGTGTGTGTGAGTGTGTGTGTGTGTGTGTGTGTGTGTGTGTGTGTGTGTGTGTGTGTGTGTGTGTGTGTGTGTGTGTGTGTGTGTGTGTGTGTGTGTGTGTGTGTATGTGTGTGTGTGTGTGTGTGTGTGTGTGTGTGTGTGTGTGTGTGTGTGTATTAATGTGTTTGTGTATGAATATATATATATATATATATATATATATATATATATATATATAAGTGATGTATGAGAGACTTAAGTATATATGAGTGTATGAGTGTGTATGAGAGACTTAAGTGCATGAGTGTATGAGTGTGTATGAGTGTATGAGAGACTTAAGTGCATGAGTGCATGAGTGTGTATGAGTGTATGAGAGACTTAAGTGCATGAGTGTATGAGAGACTTAAGTGCATGAGTGTATGAGTGTGTATGAGTGTATGAGAGACTTAAGTGCATGAGTGTATGAGTGTGTATGAGTGTATGAGAGACTTAAGTGCATGAGTGCATGAGTGTGTATGAGTGTATGAGAGAAGAGCATCTTGTCCGTATTGATTGCCGCCCCCTCCCCCATCACTTCACTTAATGCCATTTTAGGAGACTATGTTATTGATTTTTAAATACCTCCGTATTTTAGGTCATTTTAGGAATTTAAGGACAATTATGACCAGAAGGGCAAATGGTTTCAGCCTTAACAAACAAGAATTTACAGATGCCATTGCTCTAAGGTATTAGATGGTTTGCCCTCCCAATGGTGTGTGGCTATTCCTATGATGGCGATCACGCCATGGTTTGCAAGAAGGGGGGCTTCATATGCATGAGGCATGACGAGGTAAGGGATCTCACAGCAAATATGTTGAAGGAAATCTGCGGGACGTCATGGTAGAACCGACCCTCCTTCCACTGGATGGCGAGATCCTCCAACACAGGACTTCAAACACATCTAACGAAGCCCGTGTGGACGTCAGTGCTCGAGGATTCTGGACGCTGGGACAGCGAGCCTTCTTCGACATCAGGATTTTTGATCCCATGGCCGTTTGTCACCGAACCTAGCTCTCGATGCTGCACATAGGAGGAACGAGAACGACAAGAGAAGGGCATATGGGGAGAGAATTCAAAATGTCGATCAAGGCAGCTTCACTCCGCTAGTGTTCACAACCTCTGGTGGGATGGGCCCAAGCGCAAGATGTTTCTACGCCAGACTCGCGGAGCTGATCTCCGAACAGAAGCAGCAGCCCAGAAGTTATGTCACAGCCTGGATGAGATGTCGACTGTCCTTCTCTCTCCTTCGGTCGGCTTTGCTCTGCCTCAGGGGAACGAGAGCTTCTGCCCCTACTCCGTCAACTGCTGCAGATATCGACTATGAGGCTACAGTCACCGAATGCCGCATCGATCTGCGGCTCAACTAATTTAACACAGATAGGATAGTTGCTTATGTATTAGTATATTTAATATTAAGGTAAATAAATGGTGGCGAAGGTGTGGCTATTGGTAGTATATAGTAGTAATAGTATATAGTAGTAGTAGTATATAGTAGTACTGTAGTAGCACTGAGGACACAGGGAGGGGCCGGTCCTTCAGGCCTGGATGCAGACGGTTGGAGAGTCATCCTCAGCACTAACAAGTTAAGTGCCGCAACCAGTGATCTCTGCAACGTCACCACCGCCCTTGCAAGAAAACTAGCAAATTCGTGCTGCCACCACCTCCATGCTCTGGCGGCCTGCCGCCTCATTCCCCTGGATAAAAATCCAGGATGTTGGCCTTTAGGAGTGGGGGAAGAGCTGAGACGGATCATTGGAAAATGCTTAATGGAGGTGGTAAATTATGATGTCAGGGCAGCTGCAGGGAACCTGCAAGTATGTGCTGGCCACCAGGCTGGAGGGGAAGCTGCCATTCACGCCATGAGACCGATATTTGAGCAGCGTGATTGTGAGGCCGTTCTCCTGGTTGACGCTTCCAACGCATTCAATATAATCAACCGCAAGGCTACACTGCGCAACATCAAGATCAATGTGTCCAAGCTTTGCAAGGTATGTTGAAAACACCTATAGGAACCCATTAGACCTCTATAAAACAAACATCAAGGCTCTAAGAGGAGATATCATCATACACTCAACTGAGGGAACAACACAGGGGGACCCTGTTGCAATGGTAATGTACGCAATAGGCCTGTCCGTGCTCCAACACACAATAAAATTTAAAACAACCGAGGTCAAGCAAGTGGCATACGCTGATGACCTAAGAGGAGCAGGAAAATTGGTGAACATCAAAAAGTGGTGGTACCTGATAACATCACGAAGTCCACAAATAGGGTACCATCCAAACGCCAGCGAGTCCTTCCTCATTGTCAAGCCAGAACACTATGAACGGGCAGTGGAGGTGTTCGGTGGAAGTGAGGTCAAAATAACAAAGAATGGCCAAAGACATCTAGGTGCAGTAATCGGCACGAAGGACTTCAAGACCAAGTA